GGCTCAGGCCAAGAAAGCTGAGCCCAGCTGGCTGGGAACCACTGCCCTGCATCTGGAAGGCTGCTGCCATCAGCACAAACAACGCCTCTAAGCCGACCCCTGGGAAGTGGGGGCAGTAACATGGAGGTGGAGAGAGGTTTGGGGCTCAAGTCCCTGAAACTGCAAGTTTGTGTGTGAGTAAAAAAGAGAAGGAGAAAGAGAAGTTCATTCTATTTAGGAAAGAGAGAGGCCATAGTTTCCATCAGCAACTCAAAGAGGGTTGGGAAGGGGGTGGTAGAGAGCAAGAGGGATAACCCAAGTAGGGGATGAGCCCTGAATTTGGGGTCAGAAGCATGCCAATGCTCTCTGAGCTTCAACTAGCCCCTTTGTAAATACAGGGTTGGCAGTGGGTCTGGAGACTTCCCTAGGCCAACTGGGAGAAAGGGTTGGAAAGCCCCAGATTGTATCAGACAAGAAGGATGAAGAACCTTGAGTGAGAAAGGGGAGGCAGTCCCCACTCTCTCCCAGAACATAGCAAAGTGAGGTGGGGAATGTCCCCAAGGTCAGCCTGGCCTTCCTTATGCCAGGAGCCAATACACACATGCACACACCTCTCTGCCCTAGACAGCCGGCCCTCTCTCCAAGGGGGTGGGGGCAGCGCCCCTGAGGTGAGAAGTCCACAGCTCAGCAAGGACAGCATGGCACGACTGCCCAGGATTAGCGCCAAATCCTGAGCTGCCCTGTGCAGGGATCACACATCACCAGCTTCACAGCTGCTTGGCTGCACCCTGCCCACACACTCCCCTTTCCCCTTACCAGCCCCTGCTCACAGGCACCCAGACTGACTTCCTTCTCAAAAGGAGACAGGGAGAGTGCTAGGGGCAGGGGGCAAAATGGGTCAGCGTCAACTCCCACAAATACCTCCAACCTACAGAAAACCCTCAGGAGCAACAGAATACAAAATGGAGCCAAAAGCACACTGAAGACTTCCCCTGCTCAACACTTGTCTCTGCCAGAGGTGGCCTTGGCCTAGAGTTACCTTGTCCTTTGGGCCACCCCACCCTTCCCTCCAGATGGCTCCAGTCCTTGGAGAGACAGAGGCAGGAGACCCAGACAGAACCCCCACAGCTGTGAATCCTCAGTCCCAGCTTCTTGGAGCAACTGCTCCTGAGGCCCCCCAGCTGCTGGGAACCTTGCCACCCACCGCCAACCCCACTCTCCTACACATCCACAACCCCACCACCACACCAAGCTCCTTACTCCAGGCTAAATATGTGCCTCCTTCCCATCTAAGCAAGGGTTGTGGGAGAGGACCTCAGCATACCTCCCACCCCCCAAGATCATCCTGGCCCAGCTCTACTCTCAAATACACCCCAATCTCAGCATCAGAGGAAAGTAACAGTGAGGAATCTTACTCAAACTCCTCCAGAAAAGGCTTCAGGAAAGACAGAAGAGGAGATACATTGAAGCCAAAAACCCGGATTTTTTTCAGTTTTTGTGCGGAGTGTCTCCTGGGTCTCTCAGTGCAATGGGCTGTGCTGGGCCACTGCTGAGTTGGGATGGGGGTGGACGAAGGATGTGGAAGGCAAGTTGGAGCTCAGAGCACCCAGTGGCCCCTCCACAGCCTGAGCCTCCCTCTTACCCTGGATGTGAGCGCAGGGCCTACAACTAATGCCCATCCCTAGGAGGGCAGGGAGGGGACAAAAGGTGGGGAGAAACTGATGCCCTGGAGACGCAAGCAGGAGAAGTGAGGGAGGGGGCAGTCTTGTCCTCTGATCCCTGCTCACCAGGGGTAGCTGCGGACCCCTTCAGCGCCGCTGAAAAGCTGATTCTGCAGTTTTTCTAACTGTCAGCTAAGTGCCACTCAATAGAGCTTACCACCAACACACTCACACCCGTACTTCCCTCTAGGCTGCACTGCGATTCTCTCACCTGTGGACTGCGCTCCAGATTCTCTTCCTTCAGGGGAGGGTCTGGTAGCCTCGTGAGGGCAGCCCCCAGGCGGTCCAGCATAGAGCCTGTACCCTCAGCACCGCCGGCTGCATGCCTACAAATCATCATCATCACCTCCACCTCCGCTGGCACCACCAGGCTCGGCCTCAGACGATGCTCGTTGCTCATGGGCCAGCAGTGCTGCCAGGCCCTGGGCGCGGAGGAGGAGACTGCCCCCCAGAAACAGCACCCCACAAAGCACAAGCAGTGACAACACACTCAGAACCGCCGCCCGCACGGCACGGGGTCCCTCGGGGAGCTCCGGCAGAGCCTCCGACTGGTTGCAGCAGGCGTTCAGCCAGGCGGCCTGTGCCGCAGAGCCGTTCATGCTGCCGCGCAGGCTTGTCCAGATGTGCAAGAGTGCCGGCCCTGGGCCACTGAGGAGGGGAGGGACCCGAGGGGCGGATCCCAGGAGCCTACGCCCCACTCCTTGCCCAGCGAGGTCAGATTCTTCCCAAAGAAAAAGACTTCTCCAAGCGCTTTTCATGAGACCCTCACTGCTGGGACTGGGTATACTTTTCCTCCCCAAGGCCCACACACCCACTTCACATGAGTCTGGCCTGTCCCCAGGCATCCTTGTCTCCACGACTCTCCCTCTCCCGTGGCAAAGGAGGTCTAGAGGTAACACCTCCTTGAAACACTGAGAAGATCCTCCAGATCCCCATCCCTGGTGCCGGTGAGAGATGGGGGGCAGGGTGCTATAAGGAAGGGCCATCCCATCCTCTGGCTTTTTTGTCCCTGGCCCACAACTCAACACAGCTAAGTGGCCCAGGTTTCTGCTGGGACAAGAGGCAATGGGGCCGCCTCCAGGACCTGAATGACTTATATTCTTTCTCTCCCACCACCTTTGGGAGCCTCGTGGATCTGGACAAGCAGGTCAGCATGTCCTTTAGCCTCTACAGCAGGCAGAGATGAAGAGTAGAGCAGGGGGATTTTAAGGCTCAAACCCCCTAAGCCAGGGGAGTCCTGTTTACAGACCAATGGGAGACCATCCTGACCGAATAAATCCCTCCCTTTCCTCTGCCCCGTCCCGTTGTTTTTTAAATCACAACGCCAGAGTCCCAGTCAAGGGAGGGTGGAAGACTGGCTCAGGGTTCAACTACAGAGGAGAAAGTGTGAAGAAGACCCTTCTGCTCAGGTCTCCTGAGGTCCAGTAGCAAGTCTTGAGACCACTGTTAAAAACAAAGTCACTGCCAGCCAAAACCTCCGCGGGAGGGACTGTCAGTTGGGAGGTACAGAAAAGGACCCCTAGACTGCAGGAGGTCAAGTGGCAGTCACATGCCATCAAGGACTTCTGGAAATGGGCCTTCTGCACCTCCAAACCCCCTCCTGAGTTCTCCAAGTCCCTAAAGCTCCAGAAATCAAGGTGGTTGTTGTTAGATCCTGTCAGATTGATTCCAAGAGATTAAAGGCAAGACATCACAAGACTCGGAATGGTGAAATATCATGTGGCCAAGGGTGGCAATGAAATAGTAGAATGTGCAAACACTCCCTAAGCATCCTGGCTACCTACTCTGCTTCAGGGCCATGGGCAAGAACACCTCCAATTTCTTCCCTAGCATGCCCCTCCAGGTTAGAATTATCCCAAATGGTAGCCAAAGAAGAAGACTGTAAAGCATGGACTAAATCAACAAAAAGCATGGCACACAATGACTTTCACTGAATTTGAGTATACTTGTGTGGAAATGTGAGCATGAGTTACTAAAGCAATGTCTTAACAGCCAGTCAGAGCCAGCCCAACCTGGAAGAGTGTAACCAAACACCAGCACAAAATGGCCAATCTCTTTCCAGAGAAAACCACAAATGAAATGACCTATCTGGTATGTGCAGGGCCTGTGTGTGCTCTGTGAGGACAGAGACAGTCCTCTTTGGCGCCATTATGAAGCAAGATCAAATCAAGAAAAGTCAGGGATGTTATCATTTCCCAGAAGAGCCACAGCCCAGTCACATCCTAAAGCAACAGTGCCTGAACCTGTGTCTTCATTCATGGGACTGGCCACAGTCACATCTGGGTGGGTTAACACCTGCCTGTGTGATCAACAGAGTAAAATCTATGGCCATATCCAGAGAAGCAGCGACACCAGAGATGGAGGCAGAGTTGAGGACATGGAGAGAGGGAGCAGCTGAGGACTCTAGCTGAGGAAAGAGAAAGACTGTGTGCTGGCGGCAAAGAGGCAGGCTTGCAGAATGTGCCCTTTGGTTGTTTAAACGATTATATAGTACTGTGTGTTTTGTGTACATCAAAAAAAAAAAGAATGAATAAAGGCAAATACTGTTAACTGATGATGTATGGAGGGGATTGTAATCATTGCAATGAAAAAAATATGACTGGTTGAGTGCAAAACTGATACTCTGCCATGTAAACTATCACTCAGTTTACAAGCTTTTTTAAAAAGAAAATAAAAAACCTATGGCCAACAAAGAGTAAAATCTATCAGTCATAACCTATATTGAATTCCCCGTCATCTTAGAATAACACCTTAATACATATCTATGTCCTCACAGGTCTGCCAAAAAGTTAACATTTCAGGGTTAAAACACAAGCCAAAAGAGACATGTTGTTGTTAATGCCGTTGAGTCAGTTCTGATCCTTAGCAGTTCTGATCCTTAGCAACCTCGTACAGGGTTTTCAAAGAGTAGCTTCTGAATTTGAACCACCAACCTTGCAGTTCAAATCAACCTTGCAGTAGAGTGCTTATCCTACAGCACCACATCGGGACTCTGAAAGAGACATGGCTCAACCCAATCTCACATTCTCAACATTTATTCACCATCCTTAGTAGGAGCTCTTCAGGACAGTGGAGAAGGAAGGGGAACTGCAACCCAGGGTGTGAAGAGAACCGAAAACATATAAGGCTGGACTTGATCATCAGCAAAGGATGACCAGAGAGGCTAGCAACCACAAAACAAGGAAGCCAGGGGTTGCTTCTTCCAAGTCTCTCCCAAGGACCCAGAGCAGGTTTCCACAGCCCCGAGCACCTCAACAGTATAATCCCCAGAAGCCAAGGTCTGGGAGCCATAAAGGAGCCCTAGAGGGCAAGGGTGTCTTTGATGAGCCTGCGCATGGTGGTGGTGACTGAGGTGCCCAGGGCGTCAGTGATTTGGAAGGAGATCTTGTAGAGGTAGGGCTGCACGTCCCGCAAGCCGGTGTCAAACACATTGTCCACCTCCGACTGCGTGGGCATCTTGGGCAGGTACTCATGCCGGTTCATCACCTCCACAATGTTGATGATCTTCTCACACAGTTTCTCACCCACCTTCTCCCGGCATATCTGACGCTCCTGCTCTGTGGCCAGGGCCACCACGTGCACCTTGACTGTCCACACTTCCCATGGGATGCACTCGTCTGAGAAAGGCCAGCGAGACTTTTTCTTCTGGTAGAACTCCAAGGACATCTGCCCTAGCCCATCGCCACCAGAGTTGCGCAAAGCATCCTGGGGGAAAAGGGGTAACAGATGAGCAGGGAAGGTAAAAGATTTCTGGAGAGTTCTCACCCCTCCCTATGCCCCAGTGAAGCAAGTTTTCCCCGATCTAATATATCAATCCCTCACAAGGGCAGGGAACAGAAGCCCAGAGAGAGGAGAGGATTTCTGTGAAGTGACATAGCAAACTGCCAGCCTAAAATTAAGTGGTAAGCAAGCCAACAAAACCTGTCTCCTTTCCCAACTCCCTCGGCTTACTCTGTGCCAGGCAATGCACACTCTCACTGGTTCCTCTCAACAAGTCTCTGAACTCGGTATATGACCTCCATTTTTATTGAGGCAAAATCAGACTCGGAAACTTGAGGTAAAACTTGTCAAAAGTCATATTGCCAGTAAACAGCAAAGCCACAATTTGAGTCCACATTATCCAGTTTTCAAAGATACACTTTTCACCTTTACATTAAAAGTGTGATTGTGTTACCTTCTCCCTCCACAACACTATAGTCCCCATGTCCTTGAAAATAGTCACCTTCACTCTTCAACAACTCCTTCTCCCCCAGTAAATCCTATCTGCCTTCTCCCTGCAAATATAAGTCCTTCTACCCCTTTCATTTTATGACAATCCAAATTTAGAATCTCCTTCTAAATAGCTGGGGTGAGGAGGGGGAGATTATAAGGCCTAGTGATCCTTGTTTAGAAACAAAAAAAAACACAAGGAACAGAATGAAGAAGAAAACTGAAGGGCAGACTAGATCTAGTTGCTTCTACCTCCTCCCCTCTAAGGAGCAAGTGGGATAAGCATCAGTTCTAAAAATTCTGCTTATCCCATCCACTGGGGGGTAGGAGACCCCCACACTCCTCCTCCTAGGGCAGCCAGAACCCTGAAGCATCTTTCCCTCAGAAGCAGTGCCAACCCAGAAGTACTTCTCCCTCAAATCCTGAACCACCATCAGGGACTAACTTGCCTTCACAGACACAGTCACATGACCTTGACTAACTATACCAATGGCTAACTTCAATAGACTGTGTGCCAGGCTCTATTCCAAGCAACTGACACATTCGACTCATTTAAACCTAAAGTACTCAATGAGATAGTGACTGTTAGCCTTCCAATTTTACACATAGGGAAACTGAGGCCCAGAGAAGTGTAGACATGCACCCAAGGCCACACACTGTTATGTGCACACCTTACACAGACATAGAACAGAGAACTAGGTACTGCTGCTTCCCCCATAAGGGTGACTGGGAAACTTCTTATGAGCTTTGACTGTTGTGGCCTGGGAGAGAGTCCCACCTGACACTAAGCCAGTGCCCTGTAATGAGCCCACCTAACACTAGGTCAGTGCCCTGTAACGAACACATGGTGTAGAGGCACTCCAAGCATTTATGGAGTTAAAGTCAGGCAGACAGGCAAATCCCCCTCCTCTGACCCCAGAGTTTGTGCCTTTTATAACAAAGGATTCCCTTTTAAATAAAAAAACACCCTTTCACTGAAATAGTAAAATACTGAGATTCTGCATACAGACAAAGTTAAGCATTGCACCCACTGTCCAGCCTTCTGAGAGGCCCAACATCAACAGCCTGCTGTGTCCCTTCCTCACCTGTCTCTTGCCCACACAGATACATATAATCATATGTGACATTCCACACCACTGGCAACTCCTCTCTCAGAGGCAGTTTTGTATGGGAAGGTCCAGAGAGAGGTACAAAGAAAAGCCAAAGAGGTGTCGGTAGGCAGTGCTGCAGTCAGAAAAAAGCCAAGACCACAGAAACATAGTTCTCCAGCTTCCCAGGGGACCTGGCTACAAATGCTACAAGAACTTGCTCTCTCCTCTTCCCTGGGTATTCTCACAACCCAGCCCTGCCCACCACCACAAGCCCTCCTCCCTCAGTGGAGCTCTGAACATGCCTTTTCCTTACCACCTGAAGGACCCCAACACACACACCAAAAGGTGTGAGTTGGTCCAACAGCAAGCCCGGATGGTCCACCTGCCATCCTCCAGGCCCTCCTCCTACCTTGAATTCCCCGACCACCTTGCGCAGGGCTCGGTCAAGCTCGTCGGAGGAAACACGCACGTAGGTGAAATCAATGAAGTCACAGTCAACGTCCTGCGTGCCCACAGTGCCGATGGAGTAGGTGCCCTCCTTCTTGTAGTGGAACTTGCCCGTGCTGCGGTGTAGGAGAACTGTGTGCAGTACAGCCAGCATAGCCTCTTCCACCTGACGTCCTTCCACCGACACCTCCAGCACTTCAGAGCGGCAGTTCATCCTGCAGCTAGTAGCGCTTCACCCCACCCAGGGGCCACCCTGTAAAAGGCAGCTCAGGTCAGAATGCTGACAGCTCACCTGCTCGCTGCCTTCCAGGCCCAGCCCTGCCCATCTCCACTGGTCCATCACTGCATTTCTGCAGCATATCCAAGGAGCCTTCACATGAAGTTCATGGAAAATGAAAACATAGTGGAATATTTCCACAGACTTCATACAATCGGAGAATCAGAGACTTTCAAAGTCAGAGAAATGGGGAGAGCTTTAAAGTTACTAGTCTAAATGGCCTGCTCAGGCTTGAGCCCCACACATGGCATCTAAAGCCGTTTACAACAAAGGCTCACTGTGCAACAGCTGGCAGCCAGCATGGGCCCTGTTCTTGACAAGTTGATGGACCAAAGACAAGACAGGCATGGCAACATTTCCACAGCAGTAAGCCGGGATGCGAGGGTGAGGAGAAAGGACTGGAGTCTGCTTTGCTGGGACCTTGTTAAGGCATTTATTTGGACTCTGTGGAGGGTAGTAAAGACATCACGGTGCCGAGGCCACATATGAGCACCCAAGAATGGCTCTCAAACTCTCTTGCAGTCACAAACTGCTCTGAGAAGCAGGGAAGTGTTGACACCTGGACTTTAAAGCCAGACCGACAAACACAGACACAACAAATCACACATACAATTTCAGGGGTCATCCAGACTCCAGGGCCACTTTAAGGGCAGGAAAGCTGACAGGAAGACCAGTTAGAGGCCATTAAGATAGTGGTGTGACACTGCAATATCAGCACTGGACTGCTAACCACAAAGCTGGCAGTTCAAACCCACCAGTCACTCCTCAGACTCTCTACAGAATCATCATCAGTTAGAAGCGACTCGATGGCATTCACCAACAACAAGCATACTGATAGTTACAGAGGCAGCACGGGGTGGTGGTGTATGGATACTCTTCATGTCCAAGATGGCCAAAGTTTAAACCCCAGCTCTCCTACATCTTGCTCTGTGACCTCAAGCAAATCACTCAACCTCTCTGAGCCTCAAGTCTCTTTTATCTGTAAATTGAGACTGTTGTGAGGATTAAGATAACACAGTAGAAAAGTGATAGCAAACAATGATTCAAAAGCCAGATAGCCTGAGTTGGGACCACAGCTCTGCCACTTGCTCATCATGTGACCTTGGGCAAGCAACTTAACTTCAATCTATATGCCCAATCCATAAGAGAGGACACAAATAACAGCTTCCCTGAAAGGGCTATTATCAAGGATCGAGTAAATATCTGTAAAGCACTTCAAACAACAAAAACAGTTTGTTGGGTTTTGTTGTATAGTGTCGTAGAGTGAGTTCTGACTCCAGCAACCCTGTATAAGGTTTCCGAGGAGAGGCTGGTGGGTTTGAACTGGTGACCTTGTGGTTAACAGTCCAGTGCTTATCCTACAGCACCACACCAGGGATCCCTCAACAAGCAGTAGCTACTATAATAAATTACAATATTCTTATTGCTGGGTGATAATTGTTGTTGTTAAGTCTCATCAAGTCATTCCAACTCATAGCGACCACAGATCTTGAGGTTCCAACAACCCTGCAGTCCAGCGCATTAGCCCGCAGCGCCACACCAGCACTCCTAAGTGAGTGGAGAGGCAAGGTTATAAAGGAGAGAACAGACTTGAGAAGCAGAACTTAGTAACCGAGTAAGTATCTGAAGGGATGGGAGCAATCATGTTTCTTAGCTCAGACTGCTCAGCTTGAAAGCTTCCATTTAGAGGGAATGCACAGCAAACTATTCCATCTTTAGATAGCACTGCTCTGGTAGCATAGTGATTACAACTCGGGCTGTTAACCAACCTCCAGGTCAGCAGTTCGAAACTACCAGCTGTTCCGTGGGAGAAAGATGAGGCTTTCTGCTCCCGTAAATATTTACAGCCTTGGAAACCCTGCGCAGGGTTGCTATGAGTTGCTACTGAGTCCACAGCACACCATCACCACCACCATTAAGCTATTAGCAGTCCTGGTGCAGCACTGGACGGCAAGGTCAACTTAAACCACAAGGTCAGTGATTCAAACTCACCAGTCCCTCCTTTGTTGTTTGTTGTTGTTAGGTGCCAGTGAGTCGGTACCAACTCATTTTCAATGACCTCATATGCATGTGAAAGCTGGACAGTGAATAAGGAAGACCATAGAAGAATTGATGCATTTGAGTTATGGTGTTGGAGGAGAATATTGAAAGCCCCTCCTCGGGAACCCTATAAAGGGTCACTATGAATTGGAACCAACTCCATGGAACCCTCTCAAGAGCAGTTAACAACAAGAAGCTGTTAAGGAGCCATGGTAGTGTAATGGATTATGAGCTGGGCTGCTAACCACAAAGTCAGTAGTAATTCGAATTTACCAGTCACTTCACAGATGAGGCTTTCTGCTCCTGTAGAGATTTGCAGGCTCTGAAACCCTATACAGGGTCACTATGAGTCGGAACCGACTCCATGGCAAACACCAACATTAAGCTTTTACTTCTACTAAAGGAATCTTTCTTCTGCTTCCAACCATTGTCTTTGTTTTGATATCCAGAGTCACCCCTTTGCTACAGATGAACCTTTCAGGTATTTAGAGGCAGTTCTTGTATAACCTGCTGCTCCATTATGTAGGTTATAGGTACCCAGCCTGCAAATGTGCCCACATGACGTAGCATCTTATCTCCCCAGGGTCCTAGCACTTCTCTACATAGATTCCAGTTAATACTCAGCCCTGAACATAAGGCAGCAGTTTGTATACTGTACTGTTCAGAGAGTACGGTGGCTCTGCTTTCTACCAGCAATTAGCCCTTGTCTATCTGTAGTGGTTACAAATAGGGCTGCTAACCTCAGGGTCAGCAGTTCAAAACTACCAGCCGTCCCAAGGGAGAAAGATGAGGCTTTCTGCTCCCGTAAAGATTTACAGCTTCGGAAACCGTGGTCCCTATGAGTTGGAACTGACTCCACGGTACATAACAACAACATTTGTATTTTCATTTACTTTTTTCACAGGTGTTAGTCTCGTCTCTCCTACTAGGCAGATAGTTCCTTGAGGGCAAGGACTGTATGCCATTCATTACTGTAAACTAGTACCTCATAGAAAAGGGGCTCTGTTGCTACAACTTGGGATATGAACTTCAAGGTTAGCAGTTCAAAACTATCAGCTGTTCGGTGGGAGAAAAATGAGACTTTCTGCTCCTGTAAAGATTTACAGCTTGGGAAACCCTATACAGGGTCACTATAAGTCAGAACCAACTACCAGGCACATAACCAACCAACCATACAAAGTAGCTGCTCAATCCATCCTTATCCTGGAATTCCAGGTTCTCCCTAAGGTTTTTAGATCTGCTTCTCCTACACTTTAAGATCCAAGATAAGGAGAGCCCCTGCTCCTTTCAGCACTCTGGTTTAATTCCATTTAGCAAGTGTCCCATCCAGACTCCCAGCTCCGTTATCCTGTCTTCCACAGCATCTCCCTCTTGAATCTTCATACAAGCTATACACAGCTTCTCACTGTTGCCCGAATGCCAAGCCCTTCCCCGAGTGCTCTAGTGTAGGTAGGCTCCCCTCCTCCAGGAAGTCTGTCCTAACCAGTTCCAGCTTCCATCCCACAGCAGTCACTTTAGTCTGCGATATGTATGTTTATCCCCACATGCGCAGTGGATATTCCCCAAGGCTGAGGCCCAGGAGTCTCGTTTCTCTGATTCCCCAAGGCCTGGGGCCCGGGTCGGCAGGGAACAAGGGCAGAGGTTGAATGCTTTCTCGGAGCCAAGGTGGGGTCCATGACACCCCACACACATCACCAACCTACGTGTATAAGCTCCAGCACCGGTCACTCAGGCTCGGATGATGCCCCTTCTCCTCCTTCCCTAGCCCAGGCAAGACCTCCGCAGGTACGCCGAAAGCTCTGCGCGGGCGACTAGCCACACGAAATACACTAAAGGCGAAATCAGAAAGCTATGTGGCTCAGCATCCAGAGACTCAGGCGGCAAGCAGTTCCAACTCTCCGCCTGACTCCAGTTTCTCCCACCGCCACTACCCCAGAACTTCCACAGTCCGGCGACTGTGCTGGCTCCTCTGATATCTCGGGGGCCGCACCCCACGCCGAGTCTGGCCGGATTCGGGGGTTCGAAATACGCCCTCATCCCGCCGTCCGGGAGATCTCTTAAGCTGGTAAAGAGGGGTGCAGGCGATGAGAACAGACCCTTACCTAACCCTCAAATACCCGGCCCCCGACCACCCAGCCAATCGGCGGCACTCACCGCAGACGCCAGACCACCACTGCCGGAGAGGGAGATCAGACCGGAACAGCTTCCCATAGCCCCGTCTCGCCGGGCGTCTTCTACCTGCTCCACGGCTTTTAGAGGGAGGCGTGCAAAGCTCAGCCACGTCCTGATAGTAATACAAGCATCATAACGTCTCTGAATGCACAGAATAAAAACTTAAGTGTTATATATTGCTCATCATTTGTATTATAGTTTTTAGTCACTACATATAGACTTCAAAGATTATATGGGGTAAGTATTCTCCCCCATTTGGACGAGTCCATTTACTCCCTTTACCGTCAGGGCTGTTGTGCGGCGGCTGGAACAACCCACTTCCGCCATAGAGACGGATGGCGGGAAGGGAGAGAGGCGTCGGTTGTGCACTGTTGCCTCCCTAGTCTGGGAGGAGTCATCGGCGTGGTCCCCATTTCTGGGCTGAGAAGCCTGGGAGCTGGTAGGAATCTTCACAAAACGAGAACTTACAATACGAGGAACTTGCTGTTTGGAGATGAGCAGCGGCCAGGATACTGCGTGATGCTAAATGGATGGCCAAGTTCTAATTTGTCTAGCATTTATAATAGACCATATCCCTGACCCTCAACTCACATAAAGATGCTGGAGATAGGCCTTAATGTAAAAGGGGTTGGGGGTGGGGGGTTATTAACCTGACAATGCTATGTTCTGTTCTGTAAACCTACCAAACCCACTGCCATCAAAATGAATCTGATTCATAGCAACTCCATATAGGG